AACATCAGGTGGGATGTTACAGCAGCTATTTATGGTTTTGGTTTTTAGTTTTAGTTCTTATTGTCCAAACAGTCAAGTCAAGTCAATCTTTATTGCACAACAATTCTAACGGGTACAATACATGGCAAAGTCTTCAGTATTACATATCTATCTAAAATCTACTCTCACGTCTACAGTGACTACAAGTTCTATGTATCGAAAATAACATACTATTTCAAAAAGGTAATATAGTACATGTATGTATATGGAGCATGGCTTACATGATAATGTACATGTCTTGAGTTCTATATATGACTGTACAAACTAGAGTGTACATCAGTTGGCGGATATAATATGATTTCTTTTATCTAAAGCTTCGGATATATACTGGCCTATATACAGGGAAGTTTCGTCGGAACATGACATGAGTAGAGTAAAAGTATCTGAGATTGTTTTAGGTAATGTTATATGTGCCTCGTTGGCATGGTGATCACATTCATAAGTGTTTCTCTTTCTTCAGTACCCGTGGAGTCACAGCCTTTATACGGCTGAATTGATGCAGGGTGTCACATAATAATCAATACAAATCACAACAATCAAATACATGTAATACACGACACACATATTTGATCCACATATTTTTTGTGGAACTGTCACAAGGGCCAATCAGCGCCACAAGGTGACCTCATTACGACTTTCCCTAACCGAACTTAGGTACCCATTTCACACCTGGGTGGAGTGAGGAAGTGTTACATGTAAGTGCCTAGTACTGTGTATACTAGTACTTCAACAGAGTATACCTCCAAGCAGATTTACTAGTAGGGATTGAATCCATGCTTTACAAGTAAAACTAAGAGGTGCTTGTGAAGCATTTAATGAGTGTCTTTTTGCACAATTTTAATACAGTTTGTAGTATAGAGAGAGAAGTCCTGTACTATTAGATTCCAAGACAACTCGGCCCCTGAGATAACTCGGCCCCTGGCCATTCAGGACAACTCGGCACCAACCCCAGGACAAGTCGGCCCCATAATTTCTCAGCAAATAATATGAATTTTGGGTCAAAAAATTGTAACTGTTATCGATCTAGAAGCCTCCTGACTCTGATTTTAACTTTTTTCTGAGACTCAGTGACATACAGTAGTATTTCTTATGGCGACAACGGACTTGGCCTGTGCCGCTAGCGTAACGCCCCTGGCGCTAGCGGCGCTAAGTCGGCGCGGCCCGTCCGAGTAATCTAAAGCGTGCCGAACCAAGAAACGGCTAGACTTACAATTTATATTGATAAAGAGACTTCATGGAATCGTGAAGCATGTAGTGGTAAATGTTCAACGTTCTTTTATAATTGTATCCTCGTATGTTTTCGGCGGGCGGGCATGAAAATACTTAAACATAGTATGACCCCGTGAGTTTACTCGTAATTTAACTCTTTGAGTGGCGCGGTCAAGTCCGTCATCACAAAAAGAATAACATGTCTCAGAAAAGAATGAAGTTAAGATTATTGTCAGGAGGCTACTAATTCTCGGAGCCCAAAATATTGATGATTTGTTGAGAAATAATTTATGGGGCCGACTTGTCCTGGGGTTGGTGCCGAGTTGTCTCAAATGGCCAGGGGCCGAGTTGTCCCAGGTGCCGAGTTGTCCTGACACCTACTATTAGTATTACATATGACTTTTTTTTTTACTATTTTACACGTTTTCCCCTACATTTACTATCACTTCCCTCTTTTACATTTTACAAATTTTAAACATAGATTTAACACTTGTTTATGTCAATATTACATATTAGGTAAATTGTTGCTTTCATCATACCTAAATTTTTTTATGTTAATTTCATCATGTATTATTATGATCATAGGCATTACTCATATTTTTGTTCAAAAGCATAACCGGAGAATATTACTCCAATCACAGAGTCTGTAATGTGAGTCGTTTATGGCTCTACAAAGAGAAAATTAAATCTAAATGATTTACCAAACGACCGTTAGCGCCCCTCCCTATCCACCATACTGGTTTTGAATAAATAAAGAAATGACGATAGATTTATATGCTAGTGAACGTTAGAAATTATCCATACGTATACAACAGAATCAACCTATGTCAAGATACACAACACAATATACGCCTTAGCAGTGTGGTTGAAATTATATATTTTGATACAAGACAACTTTGAAGCCGAAAGATTGTGCCCCCCTCCCCCTTACAAAACCTAGCTATGCCCAACATCGTTTGCATAGCATTAAACTTGCGCGTACAACTGCCTAGCGGGGTTTAGAAGACAACAAACGCCCGTAAAATATCTTAAACGTCATATCTAGATCGTGAAAGACGTAATTTGTGGATAAACGCAGGTGAAAAATCGTTTAACTCACCTGAAAACAGACGCAGCCCCGGTCAAGCCACAGCACTTCGCAGTTGACCCCAAGCGAATCGGGGTCATCCACCTGATTACCCACATAATGCACTGTACGTACGTATGTCAGCCTGACGATCTAAGGCTGTTTTAACGTTTACATTCTAGGACTATCCGATACCAGAGAAAGGGATGTAATTAAATGAATGTTTTTCAAAGAGACATGATTTTAAACGTACATGTATTTTTCATATTAATTAGTTACATATACAACACAAATTAAATACTGACAATACATGTAACTTCAGTTATTTTTGTACACCTAAATCATCACATATGTTCAATTTCGTTTCCGTGCTAGTACTAGTAGCAAAGAGTTGTCATGAGGATCCAGAGATGTAAAATACTGAATATAAACGTAATGTTCATTTTTTTTTTTGCATTTGATGCTTTACGACAAGGATGCAAAAGTGCAAGTATCTTATTTTTTTGACGACAATAAGTCGCACGTTTATAAGTGTAGATGTACTATAGTATTAAAGTTTACTTAGTAAATTCTAAATACGTTATTCTCCATATTGAATGAAAAATCATATCACGCATATACTGTGTCCAAATCGTAATCCATACTATCGCTGATGTCATCATAATAAACGTCGGTAGGGGGCTGAAAAATGCATTCCAGGTAGTTTATTGATTGCAGGTAGTCTAAGAAGTAATCCCACATCGTGAAGGTTTTCTGCAGTTCCCGCACGTGTCGCTGGAGGAACTCCACTCGGTGCTGCAGACGGTAGATTTGTCGGGTGTACAAGTCTGCCATGATGTCTGCGTAGGGTGAGAGAAAGTCAGTTTTCTAATCATCTAATATATAACGCATTACAATTATAGGGAGTGTGTACCAAAGTCCAGTTTTATCGAGTCACACATCGTCACCAAACTCAGGCCACCCAAAAAGATATTCCCATCTTGGCCCTCGGTCAGCTTTAACGAAAACATATTTTGGCGACGTCTGAGGGAGGAGCCTAATGGTACAGTATTGTGTGCAGTTCGCAAGAATTCTGGGGATTGTACAGGGATTTTATTCACAGGCATAATGTCCACAGGAATGTCTCCCAGCTCTGTTTGCTGACGTACTCCTAGAACATTCCACATTCCTGGAAACCTTTCGGGAAAACCTGTCTGCACCAGATGCCCCACTTTCTGTGACCCCGGGGCTCGTTCACTATACCCTCAGGGGAGGAGTGCACTGTTTCTAGACTTAAGGCTTCCTCAAAATCATGAAATGATGGCAGTGCCATGCAAACAATAACCCTAACAGCAACCACCGTCGCCATGGCAATGTATGTTTTCATTACCAGTCTTGTTTTCGAATATCTTGAACCTTTTTACTCTTTCTTAAAAAAAAGAACGTGTAAGAAAGCTTACCGTTTTGTATCACTGGCATCGTTTTGTCAGGAACAGCCTCCCCGCCATTGGTCAACACCTGTCTGATCATGCGCACAAGGTCCGATAGACCCGGCTCCTCTACGTTTTCCCGTCGACTGCTATTCTTGACCTGTGATTGGTCGATATATTAATCAGGTTAAGAGAGTGAAATGGTCATCGATACAGTAATTAATGATGTTCCGTAAAAGGTAGAAATCTCTGACAGGCCCCAATGTTTTGCAGTTGTAAAGGCACTTTACACCTATTTCCACGATGTACTTCATCACTATGTTGAAAATTATCATAGTTTTGGTTGGGGGCGTCCTCTTTGAAATGGGATCCAAAGCTGGAGGTTTTTTGTTTAGCAGAGCCATACCTCGAGCACTGAAACTTAAATAGCCCACAACACTTTAAGAAACTGATAGTTCTTTCTCATGCAAGGCTTACAGTCTAGTTGTATATCACAGTTCTTTTATTCACAACCATTTGTTTACATGAGCCAACGTTTCGATATAACCTGGAATCCATCCGTGAACGCCGTGTCTCCGCTCCGTTCCTCCGCTCTGCCTTCATTTCGATGACCGTCTGTCATCTTCATCATATCAGGGCTAATATGACTGATTTACAGTGCACTGTGCATCAAAGCTACGCATTACTGTAATAATGCAGTTCCAAGCATATGGTGCAAGTCGCATTTCTATGTCACAATGGTTTTACGCTCGAGGCTGCATTATTACAATAACACCTAGCTTTAGTGTACAGTGAACGATGTAACACGTAGCTTCATTACAGAGTGAACCAGCCATATTAACCCTGATGAAGATGACAGAAGGTCATCAAAACGTCGACTCAAAACAAATGGCTGTGAATAGAAGAACTGTACTACTCAATCATTCACCAACCTGATGAGATTTTGTAACAGTCAGCTTATACAATCTGGTCTTACACAGCTTGTACTTACTGTAGAAAAATTGGGTTTTACGCAGAAAGCCAGTTTACTAGTTATACAACTAAACCTACCTGTGAGATTGTATCGTTCAGGATGCCCACAAACAGGTTCATCAGGACGAACAGCAGACACACCACAAACCCGAAGATGTACAGCCGTCCCAGAGTTCCATCTGCCTGGCTGGGAACAGAAAAATAACAACAAAGGTAGAGGATAAAGCCGGGATACTACTACTACCCCATCAGCAATGTGCTGTCTTTGTGGCCAGCAAACAAACAAACAAAACAAACAAACAAACAAATAACGCAGTGTTTATCTAGGTAGACTGAGATTGTAGCTAATTAAATTAAAGATATATCCATTTTTTACTTTGCCTCAAATTCTATACATTCAAGTGGTTCATTTATTTCACACACATGAAAGTGCAGCTTCACACCCAATTGCTACATTGCAGTTGACTACAATGAGGACAATAATTGTAATATCAACAGTAAAATCAAAATACAGTTAAGCACAACATTTGCTGTTTGTAATTTAATAAAATGCGTTACGTTACAATATGGCATTTTCATGTTCATACACTGGGCATTCGATATTTTGAAAGTTTGCGTATTGTTCTCACATTCGTACCAAATACTGTCCTTTCGGGAAAAAAATAATTTTTAAAATTTTTTCGATCGGTTTTGAATTTGGTATTAATTGTACACGTATATAATGCTTACATGATATCATTGAAAGCGATGGATCCAAGCAGCATCCCGAACCCGGTCAGCAGCGCACCAAGCGGACTTTGAAAGTGCTGCAGCGTCGCGCCGAACAGCAGATACCCACAGAACATGAAGGACAGGAACACCAGCAGCACCAGTACGGAGAAAACAACAACCTGCAATTTGAGAGAATTTTCATTTACGACGGATTTTTGCGACATAGAATTCGAAAACTAAACCGTCAAACATGTTGCAAAATGATGCAAAAGAAAACTTAAGTTGGAAGAAGTTGTAGAATTTCAAACTGTATTCGTAATTTCCAACAAAAGAAATTTGACTTAACCAGTCTTTGTCAAAGTATGGCAACCTCAGAAGATTCCCAACACACACATATAGAGTCGTCTGGACATTTGGTCACACAAAAGGAAGCAGGACAAAGCTAGCAGGGACCAGACGGAAGAGGTGTTACAGAGGTCATCTACATCAGGACATTGCAAAAATCCCACAACAAAGACGGGAGGCGCTACAGACTGTTTGCAACTTATAATCTGCTCTTCACGAGTCGTGTGTGTTATCTACGTAACGTGACGTCACAGAAGCGTTGGACTGCTCATTCCCTTAGCCTCCACCACCAGGCCTTTCTACGGGTATACGGATCGTAGAATCCGGCAAAAAAGAGAATCAAATGGGCCAAGGGAGTCCGGCCGCGGGGAGGTAGTTTCTTTCCCTAACTGCGCGGCACAGTCAAACCCCAAGGCGGCCAAACTCCCCCGGCAAATATTCTCCTACATATATAACTGTTATATAATAATTATATAGCCAACGTAGTTAGTCTGGTAGAGACTACATTCCCTGACAAAGACTGGAGTTGTACAGTCAAAACTTTAACTAACTCCAATCTCTTATGTTGGAAATTACAGTTTAAAATTGCTTCATAACACCCAATGTGCAAGAAATGCCCTATAAGAAGGGAAATTACTTTAACATGACCACCCAACGTGCAATGCTGAACGTTTATTCCAACACAAGGGTACTAGTAAAGATCAGATTTTCAAGGACTACTGTCGCCTTCATCAGGATAAGTAAGTGACCAATCACTTCACAACGTAAATCTACAGGCACGTGGTCTTATTTGCATGAGACACAACGGATACATGACGTCAGCAATTTGGTCAAACGTGCCAGGAAGTTTATATCGTCCACCGTCTCTGTTTAGTGATCGCTGGAGTGCCCTGATATATATGGCCACCCGTGTGTTGGAATGAAAGTTCAGCATTGTATTATGGTTACATCAAACACAGATAAACTCCATGGCCATCATACTCCTTTTGCAGACTGAATATTGCTGTAGCCCAAGGTGGCCAAAAGCAAAGTAATAAAGTTCAATCGTTCTAAGAAGGGCATATTAATTGGCCAGAGGTGTTTCCCGGCCATCGGGGGTCCAATTGGCCAATTATATGCCCTTTTTAGGCAGATTTCTACGATTTATTCAGCCTGCAAAAAGGAGTCTTGTGGAGACTAACTCACGTGCTGTGTGGACTGCCGTATGACGTCAGTCAACATGGCGACCGAGCTGGAGAAGGCCAGGAGCTGCAGCAGCCTGACGGTGTTGGTGAACACTGAGCCCGCCAGGAGGTACCACAGCACACGGTCACACAGCGACACCTGGCGGAAACTCAGGAACTGCCCTGATAAAAGTATACGTTACGCCATTTTTAAAATGTATGCTGCTAAGGCCATGTTGATTTGATTATGACATCCTCTGGGAACCCCAAAACTGATGCGAGCGTGCGAATAAAAAAAAAGTTTTGCAAAAAAAAGTTGCTTTCACTATGAAATCTACGTGGTCGTGAAGGTTGAACAAATGGCACAGAATATGTTATGGCGAATAATCTACTCTTCGAATTCATTTCTTTACATTTTTGTCTTTTTTCCTTTGATTTTTGCATTCTACGACATTGGTATCGTTTCTAAATGTTTTCCTTGCAACTTATGGTATATTTT